CACATCCCCCCTCTATCCTCCTCCACATCCCCCCTCTATCCTCCTCCACATCCCCCCTCTATCCCTAAACTTCCATCAACAGATATCAGGTTATATAGTATTTGCCTGCAAATCATTCTGTCATCACATGTGAAGATATACCTTTTTGTATATATCCATACTGCAGTGAAGATATAAGTTTTGTGATATTTCACTAAGTAAAAATGTAATAATTGTTTTTTTACAGAAAAGCTGCAGTGAATATTGAGCAAGGGGCATTTACAGGGCTCCAGAAACTGAGACTGACAGAATGGACGAGAACCCAGGGAGAGAATAGGCTTAGCAGTACTGGTCATACCATACAGGTAAATGAGAGGCTTTTTAGGTGCTGTGTAACCTGTCTAATATTACATCCTAATTGGTATGTCATTTTACTCAGGTTTACCTGTCTAAGCTGAATTAGATTAAACAAGATGTCTGATTACACAGGTCTTAGTTGTTAGTTTTCACACAAAATGGGATTACAGCTTTATGTTGGATTAGACAGGATGTTGGAACAATCAGGGTCAGATTAGACAGGTTAACTGTCGTATGCAGACTCAATAGCTCAGCTCATACCATGTACATTAACAAGGGGTTAGTTAGCACAGAACCAACACTATTTACCATATACCATGTACATCAACAAGGGGTTAGTTAGCATACAGACCCAACACTATTTACCATATACCATGCAGAGAATTAAGTTTTTATCCAGATTTAACCTTTTTGGCCAGACTGTACTTGTAAATGAATGCTTATAAATTATGATGTATACAAAAATATTGGCCATAGTTAAATTATTACAACTCTTTTGGTCATACCTTGAGTGATGGACAGCCGAGAATACTGAACCATTTCCAAATTAGATATCAAATCATGTACCTTATATTTTGTATAAAAGGTTCAACTCTTTCAGTACCGTTGTCGTGCATATACGACAACAATATGTCATCCTGGTCCCCGTTGTCGTGTACAGACGACAAAATAATAGGCCGTCTCACCCCCGTTGTCGTGTACACACGACAAGAAACTTTGAACTTGTCTGATGTTTAGCTAGTTATGGCACACGACAATCATGTAATACAATTTTTTGTCGCTAAAATCAGCACCCATTAGTTAGAAAGAAATATTTTTATAGGTACAAAGTACATAATTTATATTTTGTTACCTATTATTTTTCGAATCTGCTGCAATATGTTCGTATTTGGTGTTTCAGTTATAAAAAATATTGCGGCAACTTAATTTGATATGAACACTCATAAATTCATCACCAAATATTTATTTAGACTGATGGAAGTAAATATGAATATTTTAATATAAGTCTTAATGCAATTATTTACTTGTTATTAGAAAAAACATTAGGAACCTCCACTACAACGCTGTTTTGAAAACAAGGTTTCGTATCGCTTGTTGCCGAACATATGTTGATTTCTCAGTCATATTTAGCTGCCAGTTAGTCATTATGCTGCAAAAATGAAAAGGTGTGAGTTTATAAACAACAGCATGAAACAACAACGATATTTGTTAATGGTTACCCGTTTAATTCTTGCAGTAATTACACCTTGTCTAAAAAGAACATTGACAATGCGCCATTTTGTTATCTGTGCGGGAGCAAGTCTAGTAAGGACATCCGGTATGGAATCCGGACCGGATTTGCAGTACGGAAAGAGTTCACCCTTTCACCCCTATGTAACTTTAGTAAACTCTACCATGCAGTGATCTGGTTGAGTCCATTATGGTCTACAGTGGTAAAAGGGTTAACCAACATAAGAACCAACACACTGCAATGAAAGTCATAGTTATAGACAATTAGACAATTAATGAAAGTTTTTTGAATCACTGACTATGCTTCACAAAGGCATCTTATGGTATTGCAACTGATAAGATCTACTTGCTTGTATAAACTGTGGTGGTCACTTGTCTTCCTTCGAAAATTATGTCCCAGATAATCGTTTGAAAATTTTGAATGGACTTAATGTATTTCATGCTTTTGGAAAAAATCCTAAACTACACAACATGCTTTTGGAAAAAAATCCTAAACTACACAACATGTTTTGGGGAAAAAATCCTAAACTTCACAAAAAACTGACCTGAATTTTTGTTTTCAGTATGGTGATGAATATGCCAGCGACTTTCTACTGTTGTCACCAGAATATCAGCTGACAGACGACGCCCAGAAAATCACTGTCACTATGATGGTTGATGAGGATGCGTACAACCCGGAGGCCTATCGGTCATCTGAGGACGCGCTTGGGACATGGGTCAAGGTCGATGCTAACATTGAGGGTGAGAGGTTGACGCTGAAGACCAACAGAGGGGGTGTATTTGTGGTGCGTTCCCATAGTAACTACGGACCAATCATAGGTATTGTTGTGGCCTGTGTCGCCGTGGTCATCATCATAGTAGGCCTGGTCATATACTTCAAACGAAACCCGGAGCGATGGATAGCGCTCAAAAAGTCAACAAAATACATGGAACGCTCCTTGCAGGAGAAGGTTTGATTATCTTAGATAGGAGTGAAATATCATTTTTTCTAGTCCCAATAACACATGCTAAATTGCTGTTTTAGAATACCAAACCAAATTTTGTTTTGTGTGGCATTTTGGTTTCTGAAACCATTATGTCACGGGAACATATTATTTTCACTTTCTTCGTTATAAAGAATTCTTTCCAAATAATTAAGTGATATTTGATATTTTCAGCATTGATAATTTGGACAAATGGCAGATGATCTTTTAGAGTACCTCAAACAAGGTCACAAGTGATTTTTATAAAATGAGCTTTTAGCCAGTTTTATAAAAGTTGGATGAAACAAGAATAATATTTTATTTTTTTATCTTTATCAAATACTTGATTTAATCATGTTTAATTGCAAACTTTGAATATATTAATTAAGATTAAAAAAAAAATGAAAATCATCAACAGATTTTCACCTTTGTCATAAATGTAAAACATCATTTTGTCCTAATGAGGTCACAATGGTTGAAATTTGTCTCATAACAATTTATGTCAAATGGTGTTATTAGAATGTTAAGCACCCTGAGTATATGATAAGTAATTGAGTTTCCAAATCAAAAGATGTGTGTTTAAAATATACTTCCAGTAAAATACTCATGTTCATATTAATGAACTTTGTGCATTTTGTATTTTAGAATTGCCAAAATCTGGCCTTATAATGATAAAAGGTTTTCTATAAGAAGTTACATGAATGGTAGTATAAATGGCAGTATTTAAGAGAGAGAGAGAGAGAGAGAGAGAGAGTGTGTGCTTTTGAGGAAAAGGAAAACAATCACTGACCTTAGTAAAATATTTTAAAGGTTGTTTGATACAGGTATCATATTAGACATTGAGTTGGATTCCCATGATCAAATTTAGATTTAAGATTGTAAAAGTATAATATTCTAAATATTTTAAATGGTATTTATGTTGAGAGATTTAAGATAATACAGGTACAAATAATTGGCTGTACAGGCTTCAATTGGAACTGAGTTTTTGGTTATGTAAGCTTATGGTAGCCAATAATAGCTATATTATTGCAATAATCAGGTCTTGAAAACGTATTGAAGGATTTTTGTTTTTATTTTTCCTACATTTTTCGGTCTAGTCAGATACAACAGGTTGTTGGGTGCTTGAAGTTGTATATGCCATTGGTGGTTGATGATTATTTTTTAAATTCAATAGATAGTTTAGGTTTGAGCTTTAATGATGTGCCATTCTGTATATAAAATGTAGCTATATATAGATGATTGTTGTAAGCTGGACATGAAGTATTCTAGGGCAGGTTTACTTCCTGTCCTTTGGTTTGAAAGCTTTAATATTATCGTAAAGTTATTTGAAACTAATTACAAATTTGTTTACAGTGCGGTGGTAATTATTCCATTTCCCAGATAAGGAGTTACACTTTTAATACCTTTTAATCAAATATCTCTGCAAGGGAAATAGCTGTAAGTGCAAATTTGAGGTATGGTTAGCAGATATTTTGTGAAGGGAGATAATTCTTTGTACAAATCAAGAATCATAGGTATGATTAGTAAAGTGTATAGTGCCAAGTGTAAACTCCTATAATTAAATTTAAGTATGACATAAACCTTAAGGGGCATAACTCTTACAAAAATAACAAATTTAGCATGTATGCTTTAGGGTGATAACTCTAATACAAATAACAGGTATAATGTATAAGGTAGCATATAACCTTAAGTGACATATATCTATGCCTACGCCATGTCATAGCCCCACCTTTTAGAAGATAACCCTGTCACTGTCTTTGAATACAACATCATATCAGTTATACCAATTTTTTTAATCACATTCCAAGTGACCTTTTCTTGTCACTATTTTAGTAATGTTTGTACTATGGCTGAATTGTCTATAAAAATCAGGGATTATTAAGAAAATGTTGATGGATTTGTTTTTGTTTTATAATATACTTTGCTATCTGCTTTATAATAGTGGAGAGAAAGAAAAATACTTCTGTTTTTGTGGGAGTAGGCATTGTGTAAAATGTATATGTTTTCATATTTGTATGCAAAGAGAGAAAGTGGTGTAATATTCTCATTAATGAAGTAGATCAAACTTACCTGAGGTATTGAATTGTTTATCATCTTCATAGTTAAGTATGTACAGAACAAAACCCAGCGTCTCAGTATGGTCAACCCGACGTCGCAGTATGCTCACCCCCACATCACAGTATGGTCACCCCCACATCACAGTATGCTCACCCTGGCATCTTGGTATGGTCACCCCGACGTCGCAGTATGCTCACCCCCACATCACAGTATGCTCACCCTGGCATCTTGGTATGGTCACCCTGACTGCTCAGTATGGTCACCCTGACGTCCCAGTATGGTCAACCCGACGTCTTGGTATGGTCACATTATTGCAAATATTTTTTTAGATGCGTTCAGGTTGTTATATTACATGTGCTTGTGATAGAAGTATTTTACAGCATCTTTCAATGTTACTGCCAGTAAGTCAACTCACCTACTTAGATCTTCCCTGCATGAAGCACAGGGCTTCATAAATTATACATTTGGAAACTTTCTTTCGTTCAAACTGGCATGAACATTGAAAATATCCTGTTTAAGGAGGCTCCACCCTTTCGCAATTAGCCAGCAGAATTCAATGAAAGTTTCACATGATGGTTATGTCACTATGTAGAGATGATTTTATGAAAATCTAAGCATTCCGAAAAAATGATTTTTGACAAATTCAATTCTTTCACATTGTTTGAGCGTGTGACATTGTTCAAAACTATAACAACAATAAAATAATGGAAAGAAACATTGCTCACAACCCTACAAATATTTTATTTATCATAAAATATCTACAACATGTTACAAAAAGCATTTTTTTTTCAAACTATATGGATAAAAGTTACTAAATACAAGCCAAAAGCAAACAGGACACATAGTTTCATACAAAAAGAGAGAAAAATTGAACCAAATACACACAAAGTCTTTATAATTAATTTATTTTACATTTTACAATTATTTTGATCCTGATGAGAGTTGTCTACCTTGAAAAAAATCGAAACTTTTTGCAGAGGGATAGAATTTATACAATGACACTTATTTTCTTTACTACACAAAAACGACAGAAATGAATTAACTTACTATATTTATTTGTCAATTTACTGTTCTTTTATGGAACAAAATTACTCTCAATCATGTACACTTTGGACATCATTCCATAGCCTGTTTACGCATGGTATATTAACATGTCAGGTACATATATGTAACCATAGGCTATCGCATGGTATGCCGTTATTACGTGCACTCACATGCACTTGCATTTTATAGGAATCTTGATATTTTACAAACCACTATTTTCACAGAGTTATTGTAATTGCCATTGTGAACCGATTTATCTGACAGAGTGTAAATCGCTCGACAACAAAAGTTGTAGCGACCAAGAGCTTGTGAACTACTGTTAGCACGGGATACGTACTGAGGTTGGTAAACAAAACACATCAGTCGGCATTCCATGCTATTCATATACAACCTTCTTGAAGTCGTCTGATCATATGTCAGTGTTGGCCGTGAGTTAATCAATGTCTTTGTATCATAAGCTTTATTTCTGAAGTACGTGTGATAACACATTTCCAAGTTAAGTCTCGATATCGGGTGTTGACATATCATCGTCACGCACGTGTACTATTGTTTACCCGGTGTTTCTATAATTTACACTACGGTAATGGAATGCGCGATACGCAATACGGAAATGACGACAAGATAATACGACAAGAAAAACATGTGTATTACGAGGGGTGGAAAGCCCTTAATATGCATATTTTCATTCTCAATTTTGAGTTTTTTTGTGATCTAAATATAGTTGTTCCTTGTACATACAGTATTGAAGAGCCTGTGAAACATCCTTACAACACCTATATGTTTGCTTGCCTCACTTGAAGCAAGGCGAGAGGAGGAGCATAGAAATGTCATTGATCCCATATACATGACGTCATAGCCCTATGAAAGAAAAAATATTTTATATGGAAGTACAATGGCGATACAACATTGACGCAGTAGAGCCAAAACTGAAAAATACATTACAAACTTTTTGACATTTTTCTCCATTTCTGGACTATTTTTCACCCATATTCACCACGGTCCAAGTTTGTGAAGTATAAAAGTTCGCCATTGAATCAGTATGTGTGCTAGCATGTATCAGGTTTAGATGGTGATTCATAAGGACCATTAAGTTGTGTGTGTGAATACACAGGTGACCTTTAGGTGAACTGACACCAGCTCGGGTGTATGCCCTTTTTCTTTTGCGAAAGAACACAAATTTGATGTTATAACAATGGGCAATTACTATTGATATTAATTCATATTTACAGTCATGTTTTGTTAGTTGCCATTGATGAGATTTTCTACACATCAGCATTATCACTATATATTATGTCACTTAAGGTAATCAGTACCACTGTACAAGTCACATTTAAAAAGTGCTATTTTTTTTCTTGGAGTATTCTCCCTTGAATGTGAAAGATAAAGCAACCTCAAGGAGTTACTTCCCTTGGCAAGGCATTCATCTCATAATTTCGTTTTGACACTAGAATTTAAATTCACAGATAGAAACATTTGCAAAGTATAGGATTGGTAGTGAAAAAGTCTGGGATTTCTGTGTATTTTTGTTTGGTTTTGAGTACTTATGTGAAAATACTTTACAAATGTTTCATAAAAGTGTTCAGGATGGTACTTTTTACCTTAAAGACTTGCAAGGAGAAGGTGTGTTGAGGTATAATTATGGTCTTAAGCAAATCATGAAAAGCTGTATAGTGCTAGTTCTTTAAAGTCTCCTTGAGGACTGGTTCTTGTTTATTTTAAAATGTCTGACCTATGCTGTCAGGAAGGGAAAATACACACTGAGTTTTGGTAAAATGCTTAAGATATAATTAAGGACTTAAGATACTTTCCCCTTATTTATGGTTCATAGATCCTTACAAGCTGTGCTTGTATTGTGATGATTGTTTCATCTTTTTTCATCTTTTTGTTCGTTTTAAGTTTGTTATTTTATTTAGTTTGTTCATTTATGTTACTGTTTCCATGTTTTCTTTCCCTTAACCAAATTACTAATTCTGAAATGAGATTGCTTCTGTGATATTATTATCATTTGTTTGTCGTATTTTGTTTACAGTTGGTATACACACATATATACATCCTGTCATTTGTCTACTCATTTACTGCTGCTGGTTCGGCTATAAAATTTCATGAAAAAATACAAATATGTTTTTTTTTTTTTTTAACCCTGTACGAATTTTATAGAATTTTAAATTCCAACTTCCAGGAGAAATATGTAATCAATTCATCAAGAAACTACTACCATTTAATAAAGGCACCAAAGAAAGTTAAGTGGTCATATAAGACCTTTTATGTGGTCAAAAAGTGTCTTTGTGTGGTTAAGGAGTCTTGTGTGGCCATGCATGTAAGGGTCTTTGGTCAAGGAACCCAAGGAACGATTCCTCTGTGGTCTAGGGATGACATTTGGGGTATGTTCTTTTATGCTGAACAACCGGTACGTCCGTTTTTAAATGTAACATTTTTGGGTAAAAATCCTAACGGACCTGCAAAATTAAAAATGTCGAGGCTCGCCTGAAAGCAGCATCAGATTACTGGGTCCGTCCTTATTTCATAAATAACTCTGGTCCAACCGATTCAACCATTTAAACTTTTTTACTTTAAACATATTTATTGCCAATACAATTGAACAAGGGATTGGGCACAGGTTATTACAACTTATCACAGCCTTCTCCCGTCATACATTTACAATTACATGTCAACAATGATAATAGGCACAAACATGAAGTAGAAATACACAACTTTAAAAAAGCACCGTTCAAAATCTTTTG